AAAAAAAAAAAAAAAACACATAGTAGTCGCCATTTCAAAGCAGCTGGTTATATTCTTGCGTTAACCCCCACCCACTTAATCAATAAAGGAGAACATGAAAAAAAAAAAACTCCATTAATACCCAGAAATGTAAATTTCACCAGTAATTAACTACGATAGAAATACAGATACATTATCTCAACTGTTGCGCACATTTTGTATCAACTACACCTCAACTTATACTTTTTCACCTTTACCTTGTATTTTTATTCTCTTATCACACTCTATTATCTGCAGCCATCATAGCCATATATAATAATGGCTACCATAATTCATTTCACTATTACTTCACACTATTACTAAACATTCTGTAATTCTCTCTCTCTCATGATGTCGGTCCCCTAGAAAGCGTCACTTCCTGTACTTTTTTCTCCAATCTAACCAATTCACTAGCCAAACTGCGCAACTCTGTAGTAAGAAGTAAAACTTTCTCACATTCTTCCATATACTGTTCTTGTACACGCTCCCGAGAACGAATCTCTTTCTTCAGAGCATTCTCTGCTGCTTCTAACTGACGCTGAAGGCGCTCCATGTCAATTTCCACTACCGCTTCGTACCGCTCTCGCTGCATCAAAGATTCATGTAAAGCACGCTCAAGAAGTATAATCGTTTCACTAGCTTGCAAACTATCTTGTCTACATTCCTCCTTATTCTTATTCCCACTTCTATCCTCCTTCTGTAGAGGAGTTTTTTCCGTTTCCAAGTTATTGCCAAGTGCATTTAATTGTGCTTCCATTACTTCTCCCCCTTCTATATGAGTCTGTGACACCATATTCTCAGGGTGAACGTGACTCCTGGTAGATTCACGAAGTTGTTCATTTTCTTCACGCAGTTTATCTGACTGTTTGGCAAGTCTTTCAAGAAGATCTTCTAATTCTTCAATCTTTTCCCTTGCAGTTCGCAATTCAATCTCAGCTAAAGTTCGTTTCTCTTGTTGTTCCAGTAGATCACTTTGCATCTTTTCCAAGTGAATTTGTAATTTTTGCTTTTCGGTATTAACTTTATGATAAATGATCCTTGTTTGTTTTAATTCTTCTTGAATAGTTTTCCATGCGAGTTGTCCATCTTGAGATCCATTATCACACTGAAGTTGCAACCGCATTTCAAGTTCCGAGTTTTTCTTTACGAGAGACGTATACTCATTACGATCCAAAGAAATAGTAGATTCATCACGCTGTTCCTTATCACCACCACATCTAGAAGAAGTTAGCAACATAAGTGATTGTTGTTGTTGTTGTTGTTGTTGCTGCTGTAACTCTACCAAGACACGAATACGATCTTCTGCGTTTTGGCACCTTTCACGCCAACGAGTACCTTCTTCAAGAATACGCTGTTTAGACTCTTCCAATTGTGACATTATTATCTCCTTCTTGATTCGCTCTGTTTCTACATCGCATTCTAGTTTCATTATACGGTCATGTAATTGACGTTCATTCATCTGTCCTTGTTCATATTTATACTTTATCTCTTGTAATGATTGTCGTTCTGAATCCGCCTCTTTGAGACGTCGTTCCAAAATACTAATAGTAGTCTCACGATCCTCCAGTTTCTGTCTAAGTACTTGGAGTTCACTCCCTGTTGAATTTATTGCACTGTTTTGCTGCAAGAGTCCGTGTTGGACCTCTCGAAACTGAGTAATAATAGCGTCGCGATCCGAAATAAGATTATGAATAATATCTTTAGCTTCCTGCAATTCTGTCATTAATACGGCTTCTCGACATAATGTGGATTCTTGTTCTTGTTCTTGTCTTTGTTGTTGTTGTTGAGATTTCAGCACTCGACGGGTAGGCGTACGACAATAATACTCTGGACCCAAGGGACCACGGTCGTTCATATTGCTCGGCCCAATCAAACGATCCGCTTCTTCTAGTTCCTCGTCTAAAAATTGGGAGAGAGTCGTACTACTACTTTTTATATTGGCCTTTTTGTTCTCTCCCCAGTACCTCATACCTCTGTTTTCTCCAATTGATTTTATTTTATTTCTTTCTTGTTTTGATGCAGTAACGATATCTAATGAATCCCACTCGGTTCATAGAGGGGGTGGAGGGGACTACGAAAAAAAAAAAGAAAAAAAAGGAAAACCGAGAAAAAAAAATGTCAGGAAAATCTTCACATAAAGAAACCAACACAATATCTTACCAATTGAGAGGCTCAGATATTGATAACAACAAGAACAAGAACAACAAAACAAAAAACATTATCATACTTTTTTGATTAAACGTGTCTTAAAAAGAGAAAGAAAAAAAAAACAAGACATTTCACACTTTTATTTGTTTTTTTTTTTCGTGTTTTTTTTTTTTTTTTATCATTTCTCTTTTTTTTCTTTTTTAACTCTTCGTTATCTTGTTACACCAATTAATTACAATCACTTTCAGACACACACACACACAGACACAGAGACAGATATAGAGAAAGATACGCAGAGAGACTCTCACGAGCTCACAGGAATTGCATCAGCAATAAAAGAAATATGCGGCAAATGCAGTCAAAAGAAGAAAACAACAAAAATAAAAAGCAGCTAAAATACTAATTTTCATCAAGCTGTGGCTTCCGTCTTGCGCCTCTTCGTCTTCATCTTCTTTTTGGTGCGCAGCGAGAGATCGAGTGGGAGTACCGCGTGACCCTGGCGCACCTCCACACGGGGTTGATTCGCCTCCTTGAATGTGAGGGCTGTATTCCACTCTGGACCATGCGGATGCCGCATAGACCGCGCAAACTCCGTTGGATTACTGAACGGGCGCGGAATCATGTGCAACAACATGCGATCTGGCACGAGTTCCACACCATCATGGTTAATAATAACGTGATCCAGTGCGGCATCCGCCCGACTCTTCAACAGCGTGGTGCGCTCAATCTCACGCTGCATTTGCATGGCCTGTATTTTTGCCTGGTGGCGGGTGTTAAGACGGGCGTCGGCACCACCCCACTCGCCCCAACCAGGCAGTGAGGCGTTCTTATCAACAGGCCGCATGATCGTCTCAACTTGTGCCGCCTTCTGAGCGAGGAATTCAGCGTCCACTTCATCACCGGCAAAGGCACGGGCAATAAGATATTCTTGTTGCTGCTGTAGTGTCATCTCATCATCCTCGTGGGGTTCCTGCCCTTGTTGCTGTTGTTCTTTTCCTTCTTCATCATCCTCATACTCATTCTTTTCAGTATGGTCTGAGGCAATTACTGCAGTACCATCAAGATCCTCATCACGACGTGGTCGTTTGGAAACACCTGGAAGAATAGTAATACGTGTGCTGCTACTATTTTTTTCACTTGAAGGAGTGGAAACGGAGGATATAATGGGTGTAGAAGAAGAGGGAGCAGCGACACCACTTCCCTTTAAACTACCAGAAACCTTGTTGGGTTTACGGATACCGGCAAACTCATCCTTTGATTCCCGATTTTTTTTTGTCTTTTTAACTTTGGTAGGTTCAGGTTTTTTCTCTTTTTCTTCTTCACTGTCGTTATCTTCATTAATGGAGTAACTACAATCCTTTTCTTTATCGCTACCGCTTGCGCTAAGTACTTCATCATCATCATCATCATCATCTTCTTCTTCTTGATGTGCATGAGCATCAATACCACTTTGTTGTTTCAGTTGAATGTTCTCTACTCCCTTAATACCGTTATTTCGGTCATTCTGTTGTTGAAACACTTTTCGACCAATTGTCTGGCCTCCTGATGCTGTTAACGTTGTAGAAGATGAACCAGCCTTCCCTTTTTTCTTGTTTACTTTTCCAGAGTTATCATCGAGGTCAGGGACTTCATCATCACTGTCTAAGGTTTCTCCACGCATATCACGACGGATGTCTTCCTGTAGTTGTTCAAGTACTTCTGCGTAGCACTTCTCTTCTCGTTCCCTAGCTTGTTGCATAAACTTCATTCCTCGCAATTCCAAACGGGCCTTTTCAGTTGGTGTCATATCAGAAACTCCAGCTCCACCACTTCCTTTACCCTTTTTATCATCATCAACACTGTTCCATAGAACAGAAGTTAAATTCTTTTTGGCGTTTCCAGCACTTTGTTCTCCTTTAGCTTCAGCAATAAGATAATCCACTACACGTTCTTCTTCACTTGAGGCGGCTTCACTGTTAGCCCGACCATCACCATCTGCATTAAGATATTCATCTTCATTCGCATCTTCCTCCATTTTTCGCATAAGTTGTTGATGTAACATATGTTGTTCATTTAAGGCATCTTTCGTGTTATCATCAAACTGAGCAAATCGTTTGGCATGACGAACCCATTTACTTGTATTTTTGTGTTTTTGTGTCACACGTTCTTCCATGCGTGCTTTCATAAGTTTCTCTGCCAGACGAGCACGAGCCTTCTCTGGATGAAGTATTTCAAATGCCTTTTCTCGCCTTTCCTTTTCTCGTTCTTTTTCTTTACGTAGGATACGACGGTATGTCTTACTTTTAATACGATTCAAACGACGACGACGGGCATTTTCATAAGAAAGCATTGCTTTTAATTTCGCCATATAACTTGTTGTTGGTACACTTCCATCATCATTACGCTTTGATGTACCAGCCATACCATTATTATTCTCGTTATCATCATCTAACGGGACGACACCATCTTCAGCATTTCCTGAAGTTAACTGTGGCCTTAATAAACCAGCACCAGATAGTAATGCATTCATTTTTCCTGCAAGACGGAAAGCTGACGCTCGTGTAGCGTTGTTACCTATCTTTTCAGTATCTAAAGTTTCTGCTATATTTCCATCCTTCTGGTGGGCAAATTGAGCTTCTGCAGCAGCAGCAATAGCACCAAGAGTAGATGGTACAGGATTACTCTCCGGCATAGGCATAGGAAGCTGCACATGTTTAGAATTTTGTTGTTCACGCAGGAAAGTTTCATACTTTGCAAGGTCTTCTGCGACTACCTTACGTACTTCACCACGGACTAGTGTCTCCTTTTTAGTATCATCTACATCAATACTAATAAGGTTATGCTTATTTTCAAGACTTTGTTGAACACGTGCCTGTGTTGATGGTAGAGGCGTAGCTGCCACAACTTGACGAATATTACTGCTGTATGATCCTTCAACAGCAGCAGGACCATAGATAGATTCTGCCTCCTCAGTAACACGTGCACGGCGTCGTTTTTTCGCCACTCCGTCCTCATCTAATTTCTTCTTCTTTTTCTTCTTTTTACCGCTGCTGTCTGCTCCTCCTTTTCCATCAACTCCATCTTCTGCAGCATCAAGCATGTCAGCAAGGTCAATATAGTCATCATCATCATCACCAGCACTGTCTCTTTCGTGAAAATCCAAATCTTCATCATCTTCAATTTCGCCCAAAGCACGTAATTGTTGCAGTACCAAAGCATCCTCAGAATCACCCATATCAGCTGCATTACCTCCTCTCTCCTTAGCAGACTTTTTCTTTTTCTTTTTTCCTCCAGTTGAATCAGCAGTAGAATCTGGTTTCGTCTTTTTGTTAAAAAAGTGGCCATACTTCTCTTCATCATCGCTGTTAAAGGCAAGATCATCGTCAATGTCTTCATCAAGATCTGGTGGAATCAGCGGATTATTGAGCGATAATGCACCTGGTCGCTGCACCTCCAACATATCATCATCTTCATCAATGCCTCTCTTCCCGCCTTTACGGTGTTGGCGGCGTTGCAAACGGCCCTGCGCACCGCCTGCTCCTTTTTTCCGCACCACTTCACCAGAAGCCCTATCACTGCGACGAACCATTTCTTTCTTTCTTTTATTTATTTTTTTTTTTTTTGCCTTGTTCGTTTTTCTGCACCCCTTTTTCTTTTTTTTTTCCGTTTGTTTTTCTTAAATGGTGCACCCGTCACTCTTTTAACTAGAGTACATAAATAAATAAAATAAAAAAGGAAATAGAAGGGAAATAAGTAAATATAGTAAATATAAACAGAAAAAAAAAAAAAAAAAAAAAAGTGTCACCTATTGATGCAATGAATATATATCTATGATATACAAGTTCTTTTTTTTTTTCGCTTGTTTTTTTTTTTGCCTTTTTTTTACATATCAGTTTTGAGTACTGCATAGTAGTGCCATCATTTGTTTTTTTTTTTTTTTTACTTTTTCCTGTTTTGCTTTGTATCATGCTCTGTGCTTTTTTTTCTTTTCATTTTTTGCTGCTCTATGTCTACAGTGAGTGAAATACTCACATGACGTCAACATGCATCGTGAAAAATAATCCTGTGAATACATTAAATTTGCATTTCACACAGAGGTCGATACAAATATATTGCAAAACTTTGGAAAAAATGAAGAGAGTGAAAGATAGAGCTGATAGAAACCATGGGCATTCTTACATGTATAAAGGTTCTAAAATACCCACTTTCAATCAATATCTATCTATTAAAATTACAAAAAAAGAAAAAAAAAAAAAACAAATTGCACTTACCATGACAATATAGCAAAATAGTAATAAAGAAAAAAAGAGCAGAGATATACCTCAACATCATACTTCTAGTTCTCATTCTATTCCATCATACCCTTAGTATTTTGAAGAATAGAAGCTAAGAGTCTTATCTTGTTCTCTTCAACAGCCGAAGGGGTTTTCACACCTTTTCTACCTGAAAGTGGTTCATTTTCACCGTTTGAAAGTTGAAGTTGTGGAGGGAGTCGTGGCAATGTTACACGCAATGGTGAACTCTTAGCAGCGCGATTTCTTTTCATAGTTAGAGTTTTTGCTTTTTCATTCAACTCTTTATCGGATACTTTTTTGTCTTTCTCAGATTTTTGTTTCGGCTTTTCTTCCTCTTTATGTGTGGTAACAATGACTGGTGGAGCTCGTCTAATAGGTCGAGCTACAGGCTTTGGAAACGTTCTCGTAGAAGCATTATTCTTGGGTGAAGATTCTTTATTTTGAGTTGTACTTCCTTCCACTTTCCCTTCTTCACGTTCCTCTGAACTCTTCTGTTGTGAAATGAATTTTCCTTCTGTAGAAATTGACACTGCTGGTCGAGGTACTGGTGCTGCAGCTACTACTGGTGTTGTTGTTGTAGCTGCTGCTGCCGCTGCCGCCGCCTTTTCTCTGTTTGCAGGGTCAAAACCAGACCAACGGTATTTTCCATCTGGCAATATCCAATCACCACCGTCTGAGACTATTGCTCCTGATTGAGTTTCTTGACGTGCAGTCTCTGTTTCTTTACCACGGCGATAACGTGTTTTAGTATTAATTACCACTCCAGATTTCGTATTCTTATCAGGTGATGCGGTAGGCCACTGTTCAATAAGAACACCAGGTTCAGGAACAATCTTCAACGGTTGTTGTGATTGTGGTTGCGTTTGTGTTTTCTTAGTTTCTTGATTACTACCCGTGTTTTCAGCATTTTCAGCTGATGTATTTACCGGTGGTGGAGGTGCCGTAAAAAACATATTCTCATACGCTGCCTGTTCTGCCGCTTCTTTTTGACGTCGCAAACGTTCCTCCTGTCGTCGTTGCTCCTTGCGTGAGAGAAAAGTATAACCATCACGAGATTTAACCATACGTTTTGGTGACTCTTGTTTTTGTGATTCTTTTTGTGATTGTGTTTGTTGCTGTTTCTGCTTATTATTCTTTTCCTGACGGAAAGGTGACGTGATACCACGATTCTGTGTTGTTGCACTCGTGGTTACAGAACCTCGTATTGTATTAAATGATACAGTTCCATAATGAGTAATATTAACCTGAAGTGTTGTCTTGGGATCATCACTTCTTGTACTTGCTTGTGTTGTAGGAGAAAGAGATCTATTACGACTTCTAGACTTTTTAATATCACTTAAATTATCACCATCAGCTGAAGTACCTCTTTGCTTCTTCACATTTGAAGCAACTGTAACTGCGTTATCCCCTTCTATAAGAACAAGATTCTCCGTCGTTTGGTTTCGACCACTTGTAATTTGGTTACTAGTTCCAACCATTGATAAGTAACCACGTGGAAGATGTCGTAATGCCTTCGTCCAGTTATCATCTCCCATAAATTCAGGTGATATAGGTCGTGTTGTACTGCCACCTCCAATACTAACTGTAACAGCATCAGAAAGTTCTTGTTGTAACTGCTTTCCTCGTCGTTTCTTACCTTTAATCATTTGACTTGAGTTATAATCTGAACCATGAGGGTTTACAGATTGTTGAACTTCACCTTCACCTTCTTTTCGATTACTAACGTTTTGACCACTCAATGAACGTTGACTCTTACGACTCACACGACGACGTTGTACTTTTCGACTACCTAATTCTTCTTCTTTGTTTTTCTTTTCTTCTTCTTCTTGTTGTTGTTTCTTTAATACGTCCTCACTTTTTGGAATAACGTATCGAGCATAATCATCCAATGGAATGGCATCAGGGGGGTCACCAGGATTTTTCATATCTTCTTCAATAGTAAAACCAGTCGCTCTCCATGCTTCATTTGATTTACCTCGGGGAGAAAAATCTGTCACGATAACCCCATTTACAGCACGTCTTTTCTGACCTTCCTGCAAGGATGCATCGAGAAGACGAGAAAAAGTAGAACTTAGTGGTCGATGTACTATACTCTTTGGTTTTTCATTTTCACTATCACTTTTATTGATATGGCTACTATTATCTTCGTCTTTACCAGAAAATACCTTTGGAGGTACTGTCGCCTTCTGATGAAATGAAAGAATTGCTTCAGCACTAAGTAACGATGGTGAGGATGTCCAAATAGGAAGCATACCAAAATATGGAGGAGATCCATTAATTGACCCTGTTGTTGGGAGAATAAAATTTCTCGCATTAACTACATTTTCACTATTTGACTTTTTATTTTTTACTTGTCTAATGGCAAGTGCGGAATCAAGTTCCGACTCTAATGACCGTGGTTTACCTGGATCACGAGGAATAAAGGAGCGAACAACGTTATCATGCAATTCATCCCATACAGAGTAGGCTGTGTAACTGGTAGCCAAAGCATCAAAACACCGGGAAACATAAATTTCTGCTGCTAAGGAAACAATATTTTCACAAATATCTTCACAAAACATTTCCACTGCGACTCTTTGCTCCGCTTCCAATACAAATGCATCAATAAGAGGAAATGTAGAAACGTAACGAATGGGAGGAACAGCTATTGATGTCTTTCCACGTTGACTACCAGAAGAAAAAGTAGATGGAGTAATAACAGAAGCAGTTTCTGTTGCTTTTCGTGGCTCCACAGTCGCTTCTGCTGATTGTACAGGACATAATAAAGGAATAATAGATCCACCATGTTGTTCCTGAGCTTGAAGAATAGTCATCACCGCAGCACATGTATCAAGAGTGGCATTTGTTCTGCCAATTTCTTCAGCTAATGTGATAAGCGATGGTGGCATAGGTTGTGTAAGATAGACTGGTATTTCTGGTGTTGTTAATGGTGTACGAAAACGATGCTCCTGTTGATGTTGATCTCCTTCAACTTCACTTTCATCAAAAACAACACCAGGAACGGATTTTCCTTGTTTACTAGTTACATCTTGTCCTATCTCATTATCATCATTTGCAAGAATGACAGAAGCAATAGAACCCCCTGCAATGTTGACAATTTGTGGGGGATCCACTGAATCCTCAGTAACACCACCTTTTTTAGAACCTTTTGACTTTAAAACTGATGGTGTCCTCCCGCTGAGAACAACATCTTTTCTTTCAGAAGGAATCGGTGGTATAGGTGTTGATTCTGTTGCAGGTTCTGGTGGGAGTGGAGACAAGGCTGTGCGAGATACATCCCTTCCTGGGGTATCGACACTACTAAGGCGTGAGGCCGGGGTGCAACTTCCACTACGACTCCCCTCCTCTTTCTCTCGTTTTTCCAGTTGCATTTCCACGTGGTAGAGAAGTGCCTTGGTGCTCTGTTCATACTCCCGCTGGAAGAGGGCATCGCGGAGGACGACGAGGTGACGGTCCTCCGCGTCGAGGGCGACGGGGTCGGGGAAAAACGGCGGCATCTCCGGCAGCAGCGGCCCCTCTTCGGGGCGGAGCCCCACAGAGACAGTCGACGACCGGGCGTTTTTGCCAACGGCGTTTTTGCGGTTCATCGTGCTGAGATGTGTGTGTGTGTGTGTGTGTTCACAGCGTGGCCCTTTCTTTTCTTTTTTTTTCTCTGAGGGGCTTGTAGTGGAGAAGAGAAGAAAGAAGAAAAAAAAAAAAAAGAGAAAGAATTCAAACAACAATATTCATATTCCAAGACACAAATAGGTCTAATCAATGTTCATTTCATCTTAATTTTCTGTTATTTTTTTCTACATTTTTTTTTTCCCCCCCTTTTCATCATCATATTCTTTTTACTCATTTAAGTTGCTTTCATTCTTGGTTGGGATTCTCGGTTTTTTAGCTGTGAACTCCAAACCACTATAATGCGCAGCACGCCTAGCACGCTCAATGTCGTCTTGTTTTACAGCGTACACATTTTGCAGGCTTCGATAATGCTGTAACTTCTCCAGTAATAATTTATACTCCGGACCGCTCAGTGGACACTCGGGATCACTCTCCAACTCTTTAAGTCGCTTCGAAAAAGAAAAAGAGGAACTACCAGTAACGGCACTAGAAGATGTACTAGAGGATGCCACTCCGCCTCCTCCTGCCGCTGCTGTTGTTGTTGTTGTTGCAGCACCGCACATTAGTCGTCTTGAGATGCACCACATTCCCTTTAGTCCTTACTGGCTACTAACAGAATAATAAAAAGAAAATAAAAAAATAAAAAACCTCTTTCCATGTGAATGTATGATCAGAAGAGAATCTGGTAATTATTAAAAACAAAAGGTATACAAACAATACTAAAAAACGATTGTAAGGAGAAACCATTCATTTTGAAAATTCTTAATAAGAAAATAAAGACCCATATATTATTTCAACCAAATCCAAACTTTATTAATGCAAATATATAAGTATAAATCCCCCCCACCCACCCCCCAAAAAAACCTAATTTATTTCGCTTTTCAACACATCCCTCGTCGTATTTTATCCTGTTCCCGCACAATATCTACTACTGCATTTACGAGTTGTTTGTACTCAGCATTACCGATAAACAAGTTGTTCACATTATCTGCACCCAGTCGACATCGTTTTCCTGAACGAATTTTATGATTACAAATTTGCTTTAAAGCGACACTACGCCATAAAAGTCCACTTGTCTGGTACCCATAACTTTCCCCACCATTACAGTTACTATTATTATTATTATTATTATTCTCACAGAAGTTTTTATCATAGAGTGGGAACACGGAAGTGGGATAAAACACTTGACCAATGGTTGGACCCCATGAGAACGTTATAACTCCAACATGTGGACGCAAAAAGAGGCTATTTAGTAGATTTGCCCCTGGTGCTCCAATAAAAATAGTAGTGCGATGTGCTTCCATCTGTGAAAAAAGTTGCTTCCCAAATGATAATGTCTGATTGAAGCGATTCATTCGCAGATACACACGTCTCGGTTGACACTTATTATTGGAAACAAAAGGGATATCTTTATTGAGTTCTGCCTCTACATCAGATGGTAACTTTGGTAGCAACACGTAGTCATTAACTACGTCACGTGCCCAATCACCACTACGAGAAGAATAGAAAATAAAAACATCATTACTACAATAATCAGTTGCAATCGTAGTAGTAGTAGTAGTCGTCTCATTGGAAAATCCTTTAAGAGTTGCTTCCTTGATTCCTGTTGTTATTTTTACTGTTGGATTCCCCAAGATGAAACGAAATGCATCACTCAGTTGTATTGTATTAGTAGTATTAGTATTAGTACTCCCAAGAGAGATGGTATTAACTAAATCATGACTCGCTTGAACGATAAAAAAGCTAATAAGATCATTTATATTTCCAGGTTCTTTTTTTTCTGAGAGAGAAAGCATTACCTTTGTTCCTTTCTCATATTGGTTATTACTATAACTAAATGTACTGTTTGGTTTCTGAATATCACTTAATAGTTTTCCTTCCTCTTTTAGGACATCAAAGACGGCTTTTGATATGTGAAATTTTCGAAAAAGCGACAAGTGTTCCTGACAATCATTGTAACTAAAATAAAATAATGCAATCCATTGTTTCCATTCCTTTAAAGAAGGCTTCGTAGCAAATTCCTTCTTTTTATCATCTTGCAGCATATTTTCAAGAAATTCCTCAAAAGTAGAGTAATTACAACCCGAAAAGAAAGGACGAAAAAGTGAATGTATAATGTCTGCATAGACAGGATCCAATCCTAGAAGTGGTTCACAGTGAGTCGGATAACCAATGAGAAGGTGCTCAAGATGAAAAACAGTTTCATTAATATTAATACTGGATTGAAAATAGTCCTTATATGTATTAGAAACTTCTATAATATTTCCAATATGATATGTGTTAGTTGAATTATTAAATTTCCAATTATTTCTATCATTCTCCTTTGCATAGCTAAATTGTGTTTCGTTTGATCGTAATCCATATACCCAACGTTTTTGAAAATTTAAATTATGATTATGATTGTAAAATTGAAATGTTGAAAAAAGTTGCGTCTCAAAACATTCTTGACTTTGTTTCTTGGAAATTGAACAATTTATATGCTTCACTGATGCTGACAGATAATGTAATTGACCCATATACATATTACCCCAAGGTCCATTTAATAAACAACGCTCAAACGACTGACGGCAACCTAGTGGACTATAGGAACTAGCATGAGTATAGTATGGTCTTGATGTTATCATTAATGCATGTCCTCCTGTTTGATTAGTTTGATGTAAATTTTTTTTATTTATACGTAAGAAATGCTGTTGTGCGATAAAGCTTGTTATTACTAGTTCTACAAGAGTATGATGTGGTACTTGAAAGTCTGTTGCCTCCTGATAGTAACCTACCGTATATCGCTCCAAATTATTTTCTATAGAATCCAATCGGTGTTGCGATAAAGGTTTAGTAAAAACAACAAAAAGGGGTAAGGTATCACGTGTATGTTGAGGCCAACTACCTTTTACAAATGGATAAACACTACCAAAATGTAATATCACCTTTGCGAGGCGTAATGGGAATACTTTTGCTACTTTAGAAGCCGGTATAATACTTTCTTGCATGACCTCTTTTATCTCTGTATCGGTAAAAATTTCTTGTCTTAAGAGCCATCTTCTTTTTTTAAAAGAAGAAGTCCATGGTATTTTTGAATTTGTATAAATAATATTATCTTCTATAAACAAGATAAATCTTCCACCAGCATAGTATACATCCGCTATATCAAAGAAAACAGCATCACTTGGGTGACGTGAGGAACCTGGGATAACACCTCCCATTTTCCAACATGAACTAAGAGCCATAGTATTATTAAAACGTGATTTTGATTTTAAATGTAAATTGAAAGTTTGCATAAATCTCTTCAGTTTAACTGTAGAGTTTGGTAAAAATGGGAATGATTCATTTTTTATTCCATTATCGTCCTGTAGGTTAATATTGTGGAACATCTTACGTCCCATTCCCTCACGCAAAAACTCATTTTCCTTTTCTGTGTTATTTAGTTTTTCTTCTGTTAACTCATCAGCAATATCTTTAAAATAACGAAAAATTAATTCAGCAAGACAAGTTGGGTGTGGAAGTGAATGATATGCCATAATACGATGACGAACATTATTCTTATTTTTCTTCTTATTCTTTTTATTCTTTGATCGTCTTTTCATTTGTTTTCCACAACACGATTTCTCATCCTTAATGGGTATATAGTATGCCACACCAAGATCGAGTTTTTGGGCAAGTTCAGCTTGTAAAGAGACAGGACGTTCCTGTAAAAGCAAAAGAAGTTTTTTAATATCATAGGGATTTACAAATGTAGATTGTGTGGCTTCCATTGGTGTAAAGGAATGATTTAAATTATTTTTCTCACTTGTACTGAGAAAACGGTTTTGTGTAATCTCACGCTTTTTAATTTCTTCATGTTGAACAGAAATAACATTTAATTTGATTTCACTGGAGTTACTGTCGCCGTCTATCAAAAGAAATCCGGTTGTAATGGTAACTGCAAGAGTCATAAGTAATAATAGAATTAACCAAGTTCTCGTAGAGAAATATCTCGATTTTTTTATTCTCATTCGTTCATCACGATACATATTAAGCAACTCTTACCAGAAGTTAGGTTTATCTCGATCCTGATGTTTCCAATATATGTATTTGTCTTTCAGCCTTTTTCTTTTCGCTTTTTGAAAGAGATAGTCTCACCGATAGGAAACGAAAAAATATATTTCTTTCCTTCATCTACGACTACAGGACTGAGACCATCTGAAAAAATACACATTAGAGTGAGAAATATGAAAAAAAAAAAAAAAAAAAAAACAATAAATAAATAAGAGGAGTACATATTTTTTTTTTTTTTTTTTCCGTTGTTAGGAAGAAGGGAGGAAGAAAGGATGCC